GCACATTTTGCAAGCCAGCCTCCTGCCCACAGGCACACAGCCTTTCTCTTCCCATGAGTCTAGCATCCTCAGCTGCTCTATTTCTCTATGCCGTCACCTCCACCACCGTCTTTGTTGTTACCACTTTTCTGGGTAGGGTCTCACGCTCCACTCATGTTTTTCCTTCTTGATGGTCCTTGTGTCTTCTGTTCCTGAAATGAAAGATTAACTGCTCCACCCCCTCCCCTTTTAGTTATACATCGTCTACAATTACAGTTGTGATGATCATGATTAATACTGATAACAATTACTCACAACTGAATCGTAAAATCCTATCAGTATCATCCCCCATCCCTTTTCACAAGATCCATCTGGAAAAGAGGAAAAATATTAAAGTGGGGATTATACCTTACCTGACTCATTCAAAAACTAAGCACATTCATGAAAGCTTGTAAGCCAGCCACTCCATGCCTTTATACCCTCTCTCTTCCACCCCCTTTTAAAAATTTTAACTTTTTATTGTAAATTGATTGACAGTTAACAGACAAGATAATCAACTTTACATTCAATAAATTATACACTTTGTTTCATCTCAGTGATTACAATCCCCTCCCTGTAACAACAGTTATCCTACTCTCTCCTTGTGGTTTCCCTTTTGTTTTTTGGGTTTGTTTGTTTTTATGTACACATACAAAACAAAAAATCTATATTCATTTAAATTTCCAAAAGGCATATTTTGCAAGCTAGCCTCCTACCTGTAGGCACACAGCCTTTTTAGTCCATGGACCTAGAGTTTCCAGCTGCTCTGTTTCTCCATGCCACCGCCTCTGCCACCGTCTCTGCTGTCTTGGCTTTTCTGGATAGGATCACACACTCCACTCATGCTCTTCCCTTTTGATGGCCCTAGGGTCCTCTGTTCCTGAAATGAAAAATTAACTATTCCCTCCTTTTAGCTACACATCTTCTACAATTACAGTTGTGACAACCATGATTAATCATAAAATCATAAAACTCTATCACTATCATGCCCCAGCCCCTTTCACCAAATGCATCTGGAAAAGAGGAAAACTATTCAGTAGAGATTCTACCTTACTTACCTCATTCTAGTATGTTTAAGATTTTTCAAAGATTTAAAAATTTAAGATTTATCCAAAATGAACATGTTGGATCATTTTGTCCTTCAACTTCTGGACTGGTATATTGCCCATTACATCTTTCCCCCCCATAAGTGTGGTGAGTTCAAACTGCCTATGTTTTGGTCAGTAGCAAAGATTTTAACTATGGCATCACCAGGGCTTCTTTGGAGTTTCACAGTGACCTGAAAAATGCCTGACACAGTCATGGACACTACAAAAATGACAGTGCATCATATTTATTTTTATCATTTTGATGATTTGATATTGTGAAAGTTGTATATTCTTCTCCAAGTCATATATTGAACAAAATAAGTTGGAAATAATGTCTTTAATTTTATAATTAACTGCTTAAAAAAGATGTCTTAATTTTGACAATATATAATTACAGGTGATTATGTTGTCATGACTATCTATTTTGAACTAAGTAGAAGAATGGGATACTTCACAATTCAGACTTACATTCCCTGTATTCTGACTGTGGTGCTTTCCTGGGTGTCATTTTGGATCAAAAAAGATGCTATACCAGCAAGAACAGCCTTAGGTGAGTTTCTGAATAGCTTTCTCATAATTTGTGTAAGTTTAATAAAGGACTATTAATAAAAATGGGTTCGAGAGAGGAAAATACTGCTTTCAGAAGTGTGTAGGCCTAGATGGAAAATGTGTTGAGAAACAGTAGCTTCACATTTTGTTTATTAAAGATTTATATTTTTCTGTAGCAGTACTTTTTTATCTACTCTTGTATGTTATGATGTTGTGAAAATCTCATCTATATATATCCCTGCAGGAAGGATTTAAAAAAAAAGAAGCCTGCTCAAATTTTCCATGATGTAGATATATATTAGGATATATTTTCCTATTTCATTATCATACACAAATGCAAAGTATTTTTTTTATCTAAAACTGTAAATAAAAGTAAAAATTTGCAATCCTTGTAAAATTGGCTTAAATTACTAAAAAATACTATTTTTTGAGAAAAAAAAAGGTTTTAATGTATGTTTTCTGAAATCAGAAAAATAACAATGTTAACTTTTAAATCTAGTAAACTACATTATTATGTATAGATTGGTAGTTCTAATCCACCATCCACTCTATGAAAGAAAAATATGGCAGCTACTTCTATCAAGATAACAAACTTGGAAATCCTATGGTCTAGCAATACTGTATCCTGTAGGGTATACAATCAACTGAATGGCAATCAGTTTAGAATAACAGATAAATATTAATGTTGAATTCCCACTCCCTCCATACACAGAGTAGACAGGGATGGGCAACATGGTCATTGGCTACCCAAAATGGGGGAGCTACAAAGCCAAGAAGTGACTGGCTTACAAGCTTTCAAGAGGGAACCTAGATCCAGAGGGCATGAAGGAAAGTAGAAACTCCACTGAGTGATATCCAATCTGTCTAGGCAGGGCTGATGAAATGAAATGTGGATAGGTCTCTTGTGATACAATAGTGAATAATTGTTAACAGGACTGCTTGTGAGGGTTGGAAATGTAAAGGTAGACATTTTGTAGCAAGGAGGGGAGTGATTAACTTTTCAATCTAGGAGCAGAGGTCCCTGGGACTACCAAGGGAGAAAAACAGAGAGTGGGACCCTACCCAGAGAAGCAGTGATGCCTGAGATGGAGGCAGAGACAATGACGTGGAAGCATGGAGCAGCTGGGGACTTTAGACCCAGAGAGGGAGAGGGGCTGTGTGCTGACAACCGGGGGGCAGGCTTGTAGTGTATATTCTTTGGTTGATTAATGATGCATGGAGGGGATTGTAACCATGGCAATGAAACAATATACGATAGAATGAATGTAAAACTAATGTTCTCACATGTAAACTATCACATAATTCACAATATAACATTTTAAAAAAAGAGAGAACAAAATATATGTATATTAATGTTGACTTAGAGATGAGAAAAAGAAGAGGAAGGGCTGGTTGGTCTGAAGTATGGTGAGACTTGGGGACTCCTGACTCCATGGACAAAGACATAGCCGTGGAAGGCTAGAGCCAAGAGTGAAGCGTCCAACTGAAATGAAGTGAGGGGAGATGCACAACAATTCCCAAACTTGCAGATAGTACCCATTTGACCTAGCTTCGATGGCTGGTTGATCAGAACTTGACTAGAGGAAGATAAAAATTTCTGATAAAGGAAACTATTGTAAATTGCTACAGTTTGATGAACTTGACATGAACTTACGGATGTAGTAGCTCAAAATACCAACTGAGAGGGAAGGAGTCTTCACATCAAGAATCAATCCTATCCCCTCTGTACACAGGTTCGATAGGAATATGCAACTTAGACATTGGCTACCTAAAATGAGGGGGGAGGGGATAAAGGCACAAAGTGACTGGTTTACAAATTTTCAAGAGGGAATTTAGTTTCAGAATGTGTGGGGGAAGGTAGACTCCCCACTGAATAGTTTTTATCTTGTCTAGATGTGTCTAGTGAAAGAAGATGGGGATAAGATTGTTATAATTCAGTAGTGAGTAATTGTTATCATGACAAATTACAACTGTCACAACTATAAAGGTAAAAGTTTTGTAACAAAAAAAAAGGGGCAGTAGTTAATCTGACAGTCCAGAAACAGAGGACCTTAGGACCATCAAGGGAGAAGAGCATAAGTGGATATGGGACCCTATACAGAGAAGCAGTGGCACCAGAGATGGCACAGAGATGCGGCAGGAAAATAGAGCAGCTGAGGACTCTAGACTCATGGAAAGAGAAAGGCTGTATGCTGAAGGCCAGGTGCTGGTAGCCAGGAGGCAGGCTTGCAGAATGTGCCCTGTGGTTGTTTAATACATTAAAAAACAAAAAGAGGGGATTGTAATCATTGCAATGAAATGAAATACAATAGGATGAATATAAAACCAATTTTCTCCCATGTAAACTATCACTCAATTCATAATAATTAAAAATATATATATATATGAGCGAAACTCATAAAAGTTACTGTCAAGGTGAACCAATAATACTAAGCTCTGATTTCTCAACAGATACCATGCAGGCAAAAAGAAAACTGGAAGACATACAAAACTCTGAAAGATACAATATCGCCAACCAAAAATCATACGCCCAGAAAAACTGCTCTTCAAATATGACAGCAATATTAGCACCTCTCCAGACTACCAGCCGCTCCGCGGGAGAAAGATGAGGCTTTCTACTCCCGTAAGGATTTACACCCTCGGAAACCCTGTACAGGGTCGCTATGGGTCGGAACCGACTCGACGGCACTTAACAACAACAACAGATATACAAATTAAAAGAATTTGTAACAACCAGACTAACTTTACAAAAAATACTAAAGGAAGTTTTTTGGACTGAGAGACAACAACCTGAAATTAGCATACATGACGGCACCAAGGAGAGCTCAGTCCAGATATTGCTGTTATTAAGTGCTGTCAAGTTGATTCGAACTCACAATGACCCTGTTTAGGGTTTCTGAGGTTTTAAATCTTTGTGGGAACAGAAAGCCTCCTCTTTCTCCTGCAGAGCACCTGGTGGGCTAGAGCCAGCAACCTTATATATAGTTTACAGTCCAGGGCTTATCATATGGCATGCTCCCCCAATCCAGATAAAGAAGCATCCAAAATAAAACACCTTTAAGACTCAAAATAGGAAACCTGAAATATCAACTTAAAATGACAGTTAAAAAGCAAAAAGAGGGAATAGTGTAGTTATTGAACTTCCAAATGAAGAGGAAGTCTTGAAATAGATTTCAAGATAAAATGGGCTATTTTAAGTTTGGGAAGAAATTAATAAATTACAGGGTAACCTCAAAGAAAATTAATACACTTTCACATCAAAACAGAAAAGAGAAAAACAAAAATTTAATAAACACTAGCAATGATGAAAATGCACAAGCAAAATGAACTCACAAAACAGTAAAACTCACAAAACAGTAAAAACATAACAATCAATTCATATCTATTAATAATTTTCATTGACTTTAAAATGGATTAAATGCACCAGTGAAGGGACAGAAAAAAATGATAAGAAAACAGGATCCTTCAATATGCTACCTAACAGGGATACATTTTCCACACAAAGACAAAAATATACTAAAAAGCAAAGGTTGGAAAAACATGTAACATTAACTACAATCAAAAATGAGCAGGAGTGACAATTAAAACTTCTGATAAAATGGTCCAGCAATCACATAAGTAATAAACATGGACATTATGTCATGATAAACGGATCAGTTCAACAAGAAGACATGACCATAATAAATATCTATGTTCCGAATGAAAGACCCTCAAAATATATAAATCAAACTCTAATAGGGTTGAAGAAAGAAATAGACAATTGCACAATAATAGTAGGAGATTGTAATGTACTACTTTTGATAAAGAGCAAGACAACTAGAAAGAATCTCAACAAAGAAAAAGAACTAAACAATTCAATCAACCAACTTGACCACATAGACTTTATACACAGCATTCAACTCAACAACAGCACAATATGCATTATTTTCCAGTGCACAAAGAACATTTTCCAGAATAAACTATATGTTAGGCCACAAAGCAAGTCTTAATAAATTTTAAAACATAGAAATACTACAAAGCATCTTCTCAGATCACAATGCTATAAAATTAAAAATCAACAATAGGAAGACTAAGGGAATGCGTGAATACATGGAAATTTAATAGCTCCTTATTTAAAAGCTACTGGGTAATAGAAGTTAGAAAATGAAATTAAAAATTCCTTGAATCCAATGAGAATGAAAACACAATCTACCAAAACTTTGGGACACAGAAAAAGTAGCATTTATAGCAATAAATGCACACATCCAAAAAGAAGAAAGAACCCAAGTCAACAAATTAACCCAACATCTCCAACAATTAGAAAAAACAGCAAAGTAAGACCACTGCCACCAAAATAAATAGAATAATAAAGATTACAGCAGAAATAAATGAAACAGAAAACAATAGAAAAAATCAACAAGACAAAAAGTTGGTTGTTTGTAAGGAATAATAAGAGTCAAATCACTGGGAAATTTTATAAAAGAAAAGAAGCAGTTTCAAATACATAATAAGAAATGATATGAGTAATCTCACAACAGAGCCAAAGAAAATAAAAAGGATAATAACCGAATATTATGAAGAATTATACTCCAACAGATTTGAAAACCTAGAAAAAAATGGAAATTTTCTAAAAACATAGTACCAACTAAACTAACCAAGACTGAAGTAGAAAATATGAACAGAACAGACTGATAAGAAACTGATCCGGTTATTGAAACACTCCCAACAAAGAAAGTCTGAGCCCACATTACTTTACCAGTGAATTTGACCAAATATTCATGGAAGACCTGACACCATTTCTACTCAGACTATTCCAGAACATAGAAAAGGATGGAAAGCTACCTAATTCATTTCTGAAGCAAACATAATTCTGATACCAAGACCAGACAAAGATATCACTAAAAAAGAAAATTATAGACCAATATCCCTCCTGAACATAGATACAGAAATTAGTTCATTGGACTAATGGAGCATGTGAACCTCAGTCTTTATAACCCTGAAACCAGAAGAACTAAATGTTGTCCTACTACCCCTAACAACTTCTAAAGGGATCACATTGTTGTTGTTAAGTGCCGTCGAGTTGATTCCAACCCATGGCGACCCTGTGTAGGGTTTCTGAGGAGCAGCTGGTGAGCTTGACTTTGCAGTCTGGCACATTAACCCACAGTGCCACACCAGGACTCCATGGAGTCACATTAGAAGGTCCTACATAGAATGGGGGAAAATGTCGAATAAAACTCGAAATTATAAAGACAAATTCCAAGCTTACAGGGCAAATAGAGACTGGTGGAACCCAAAGACGATGACCCATGGTCACCTTTCAAGTCTGGAGCTGAGATCACCCTAGTTGCTCAATTTTCACCCATACAGTAGATAGGAATATAGGGTAGGCAACAACACTAGTAAAGATATGCTCACTTGGAATGGCCATCCATTCAAGATCAAAAGAGCAGCATTTACGTACTGACGAATTTAGAAGGGTTAGGAAGGAGGGTGGAATGGAAACAGGAATCACAGGGAGGGAGTGGGATAACTGATGTTATTTGGAGCAGATGGCAACCATTGGAATAAAATGAACCGTATGAAGTCATTGAAAGTAAAACTGATGAGCTGCTCAGTCCAGAGTTTATCCAACAGCACCATACCAGGATGGCATACCTGCACTCAATTCCCAGTAAAGTTAAAAATGTATCACACTAGATAAAAAAAAAAAATCTGCTTATACAGTACATATATATTCTTCTTCATGTTCAATAATATCCATTTTTTCCCATTTATTTATTCTTGTGAACTATTTATCATATGCTTGTCTCCTTTCTAAATCTCTTCACAAGGCGTTAATTAAATCTTTCTGCTGGCCCACATACTTGAAACAAAGTCAGGCCAACACTGAGAATTATTAATTCATTAAATAGTTCATCAATTCATTCATTGCAAATCATTCATCAAATACCTAAAGTGGACTTGGCATTATACTAGGTGACAGGTAAACACAGATGAGCAAGGTTAAGTTTTGCTCTTACTGGTCACACAATCTATTTAGGGGTGCAAATATGCAGTAGTAGATATGTAATTGAGATAAAGCAAAAGAGGAGGTTTATCAGTGGGAGATCCATTGATAGTGAAATGTACAAATCATCAACACTGCATAGGGTGCTCTGAGACCAAAATGAGCTGGGTTGGGAAGAATGGAAGGGCTAGAGATTTGCTATGAAATAAAAGGTAGGAGAAATACATATATGAAAGTGTGATATGTCTAAGAGCATGGAATGTATAGCACTACTCCCAATTTTTTTTTTTTTTTTTTTTTTTTTAAGTTTCCAAGAAGTTGATTCGGACTCCTGGCAACTCCTTGGGCATACAGTATCACAGCTTCAGAGGGTTTTTAAATCTGACATTTCAGTAGCATGTCACTTTGGGTTGGTTAGAACTGTCAAAATTTCCATTAGAGAGCCCTTAATTGTTTGTGCTCCCCAGGGACTCCAGGGAATTAATGTTGTTACTATTGTTGTTTGATGCCACCAAGTTGGTTCTGACTCACTGATCTTGTATAGGATCTCATAGGAGATATTGGTGAGTTTGAACTGTCAATTTTGCAGTTAGCGACCCACTGCTTATCTTATAACACCAGTATATGTTGTTGTTGTTAAGTAATGTCAGGTTGGTTCAGACACAGAGCAACCCCATATAGATTTTCCAAGGCTGGAAATCTTTGTGGGAGCAGAAAGCTTCATCTTTCTCTCACAAGGAATATAATGTTGTTGTTGATAAGTACTATCAAGTTGGGTTCTGACTCATGGAGGCCCAGTTTAGGAGTGACTAGTGGGTTTGAACCACTGACATTGTGGTCAGCAGTCCAGAATTTATCCTAAAACACCATACCAGGATATAGGAGGACTATAAATGTCAGATTTGTTGTACTGTGTGGTAGCTTGTATATGGCTGTGATGCTGAAAGTTATGCAACCAGTATTTTAAATATCAGCAGGGTCTACTGGTTCTGGTGTGGTGCTGTGAGATACAGCACTGGACTGCAAGGTTGGTTTGAATCATAAAATCGGTGATTCAAACTCACCAGCCGTTCCTTGGAAACCCTATACAGAGTCACAATGGCTGGGAACCAACTTAAAAACAACAAATACCCATGGTGGACAGGTTTCAACTGTTCATTGGCAAAGAAGGCTCTGAGAATTAATAGAACATTTATAGAAGTCTTTCAACAAACTGATGCAGCACTGGAAACACTCATTTATCTATGCCAAGATATTGGGAAGACAGCTACCTGGCCAACTGATTCTGTGAACCAAAAGAATGCAGAAATCATTGGACAATATCATTAATTTCACATGCCAGTAAAATGTTACTAAAACTAAGTTTTAAAAAAAAAAGCTGCAATGGTACATTGACAGGGAACTACCAGAGGTTCAAGCCAGAGTCAGACAACGGCTTGGAACAAGGTATATCACTGCTGATGTCAGACAAATCTTGAATAAAAGCAAAGAATACATGAAAGATCTTTGCCTATGCTTTACTGACTATGCAAAAGCTTTTTAACTGTGTGGATCATGATAAGCTAAAGACAGCATTGTGGCGAATGAGTATTCTGGAATACTTAATTGTGCTCATGAGGAACCTGTACATGGACCAAGAAGCAATCATTCAAATAGAATAAGGGGACACTGAATGGTTTCAAATCAGGGAATGTGTACATCAGGGTTGTATTCTTTAGCCATTTCTTATTCAGTCTGTACACTGAGCAAAAATAATCCAAGAAGCTGGGTTATATGAAGAATTTGGCATCAGGATTGGAGGAAGACTCATTAATAAACTGTGATAAGCAGATGATACAACCTTATTTGCTGAATGTGAAAAAGACTTCAGTATGGAGTATATCTCAATATAAAGAGGAAAAGAAATCCTCAGCACGGGACCAATAAATAACATCATGATAAATGGAGAAAAAGATTGAAGTTGTCAAAGACATCATTTTGCTTGGATCCACTATCAACACTCATGGTTGATAAATTTAAAAGATAAATTTCATTAGGTAAATTTGCTGCACAAGACCTATTTAAAGTGTTCAAGGGCAAAGATGTCAGTTTGAGGACTAAGGTGTGCCTGACCCAAGCCACAGTACCTTCAGTAGTTTCATATGCATATGAAAGTTGGCAATATGGAAGTCAGTAGAAGAATAGGTGCATTTGAGTTATGGTGTTGGAGAAGAATATTAAAAATACTGTGAACTGCTAGAAGAACAAACAAATCTCTGTTCAAAGAAATACATCCAGAATGCTCCTTAGAAGTCAATGGTGAGACTTAATCTCTAATATATCGGATATGTTATCAGGAGGGACCAGTCCCTGGAGAAGAACATTATACTAGGCAAATTGGAGGGTCAGTGAAAAGGAGGAAGACACCCGGTGAGATGGATTGGCACAGTGACAGCAGCAATGGGCTCAAATTTAGCAACAATTGTGAGGAAGGTACATGACCGGGCAGTGTTTTGTTCTGTTGTGCGTAAAGTCACTATGAGTTGGAACTGACTCAACGACCACTAACAACAGTAACAACATGAATGTTATCTTCTTTTAAAACGTATTCAATGACAAAAAGGCATTAGGTGAATGACTGAGCACATTGGCTATGCCAAGTTAATTCAAACATTTAGATGTTATTATGAAGGCTATGGAGTCCTTGTGTGACACAGTAGGATAAGCAATGGACTGCTAACTACAGGATTGGTGGTTCAAGTGCAACCGCTGCTTCTTGGAAACCCTATACAGGGTTGCTGTAAGTAGGAACTGACTCGAAGGCACTTAAAACAACAATATGAAGACTGTGATCCCAAAAAGCTGTCAGTGAATCCATGGCTATTCATAATGACCCGCTATAGGGTTTCTAGAGCTATAAATCTTTACTGGCAAAGAAAATCTCATCATTCTCCTGTGGAGCAGTTAGTGGATTTGAACTTCTGGCCTTGCAGTTAACAGTCCAGATAAGAAATGTTATTTAAAAAATCATTTATAGTATGGCATACAAACAATAGTTAAAATATTAGATAGTAGACAATGAAACAAAATACAATAGAATGGGTGCAAAACCGATGTTCTCCCATGTCAACTATCACCCAATTCACAATAAAAGTTTTTTTTTTAAGTGAGATTAAGTATAAATGTAAAAAAGGATGGAAGCTGTGATGGAGTGGAATGACTGTAGGTAACCTCTTGTTATGTTTCTTCCATTTTGCCTCCTTTAACAAGTGTACAAATGTCCCCTATGTAGGCATCACCACAGTTTTGACCATGACCACCCTCAGCACCATTGCCAGGAAGTCCTTACCCCGAGTGTCCTATGTGACCGCCATGGACCTCTTTGTGACCGTGTGTTTCTTGTTCGTCTTTGCTGCTTTGATGGAGTATGCCACTCTCAACTACTATTCGAGTTCTAGAAAAACAACCGCCACCAAGAAGAAAACATCTGTAAGTCGTAGTTGCAAAGAAATTCTGGGAGGACACAGGGAGGAGTTTGAGATAAATGTATTGTTTGTTCTTGTTGTTGTTAAGTGCTGTCTAGTCGGTTCTGAGTCATAGTGACCCTGTATAGGGTTTCCAAGGAGCAGCTGGTGAGTTTGAACCACTGACCTTGTGGTTCAAACTGATCTTCAGATCTTTGATTTCTAAGTACTTTATAAAACATTATATAAATATAGACATTAAGAAACAAGACAGATTTTGCTGAAGACATGAATGTGAGCCTTTCATTTCTCTTCAGCTTTACTTAATAGAGATGTGATTCATTTAATCATTCTTCAGAGATTGTTTAAACTCAGGGTGATCCACAGAATTTCATAGCAGTTTTTAATCACTTTTTTCTTCCTTTTTTATAGATATTGCATCCAGATTCCTCAAAATGGATTCATGAGCGAATAAGCCTACAAGTCCCCTCTGTATGTACTGTAAATATTTCTGAGAACTTCTACAAGTCTAAGATTACATTTCAAAAATCTGTTAATGTTTATGTATGCATGTATTGAAGATGAATGAGTAATGCAAGTACTCCCTAAAAAATGTACAGACACACACAACACACACACACATATATATATATGTATGTACATTGTTGTATTAATATGTATTAAGTGCCATCGAGTCAGTTCCAACCATAGTGACCCTGTATAGGGTTTCTGAGGAATGGCTGGTGAGCTTGAACTGCATATGTTGTTGTTAGGTGCCATCGAGTCGGTACTGACTCATAGTGACCCTATGTACAACAGAACGAAACACTGCCCAGTTCTGGGCCAACCTCACAATTGTTGCCACTCTTGAGTCCATCGATGCTGCCTCCTGGCCAATCCATCTCACTGGGGATGTTCCTCTTTTTCTCTGACCCTCCACTTTACCAAATATGATATCCTTCTCCAGAGACTGGTCCCTCCTGACAATATGTCCAAAGTATGAGAGACGAAGTTTGGCCATCCTGTCATCCATGGAGCACTCTGGCTGCACTTCTTCCAATACAGATCTGTTTGTTCTTTTGGCAGCCCATGGCACTTTCAATATTCTCCTCCAACACCATAACTCAAAAGCATCAATTCTTCTACGGTCTTCCTTATT